GGATAAAGGAATGGATAAGGAAACATTGCATGCACAAGCCCACCAATGGAAAGTGGTGTTAATAACAAAGTAAGGAATTCCATGGCATGACATGTGATAAAAAAAAAAAGAAAAAGGAAGTGACCTTGGGCAATCCGCCCATGTATGAGAAAATGGGAAATGAAAGCCATTTCAAGGCTTTTGCCTCGAGAGATCCACCCATAACAAGAGAAAATGGGGATGGAAGCTTATTTTCCCTTTGTCTTGTCCACCATCCATGAGAGAAAAGTGCTTGGCTAATCCATTTCTTTTAGTACCTGTGAGCTTATTTCTTCACATTTTCCTGTTATCAAGCTTCATTGTTCCTAGAAATCCATCTTGTTTGAAGAGATATGAGTTAGTTCTTATATTGATCAAGAAGTACGAAAGAAAAAGTTTTGGATTAAGAGGAAAAGAATATAGATGATCCACATGTTCAACCAAGTTATGGTAAGTGGAACTTTGATTTTGGTTATAGATTTCTTAAGAAAATGAGTTGCTAATTGTGGGAAAATGTTTATGGCAGCAAAGATCTGCAAGGTTTGAAGGAGAATAGTTGCATGCATGTCACCCAACCATTGTTAAATGGTGAAAATTAAGGTATAAAAAAAAAAAAAAGCTTTGGAGGAATATTAAAGTGCATGAAAGATCCAAGCCATTCTAAAAGTAAGCATGCAATGTAAATTGATTGTGCTATCTTGGGTACAGTTAGGAAGAATGCTTATACTAGTTATGAGTTTTGATGTTGTGTGAATGTAATGTTTTGAAGAAAGTAAAGGATAGAAAATTATGCATATAAAGACTTGAGAATTCTTTGGTAAAGTTGCTGCTTATATATATGTGTGTGTGCAAAAGATTAATTGTGAAGGAATGCTAATTATAGAATGAATTGAACTATTTAGTTAATGGTTAGTACTTGAATGAGAAGGGGGAATGAAGAATAGGCCATAAAAGCATAAAGCTAAATATGGGCAGCAAGTGTAGGATAGAATAAATTGTAAAGTTGCTAAATATTTGAATTTAATTGCTGCTAGGAAATTGACAAGCAAAGGATAGTTGCCATGCGTGTAAATCAAGAAAGATAGTGATTAAACGGCAAGTGATATTGATTGATTAAGAACGCAAAGAGTTTAAATTGGCAAAGTAATATCCCGCCAAGAAAGGTGAGTAGGGGGTGTCTATTTTAAAAGATTTCATACTATATAATGTTACATGTATAGTAACTTGTCAATGATTTATTCAATGCCATTGTAGAAAGCATGAGTTGCTAGAAAACAATAGATGGTTTAAATACCTATTCGTGAAAACATTTATACACTGTTATTACTCAAAGCATGAGCTGGTAGAAATGATAGGAGATTGGGAATGCCATGATTTTTGAATTAGCTTTATATATAATATATAAGCTATATATGTAAAGGGTTTTACAAATCGGAGAGCAAGCTCTTTACCATGATTTATATCAAAACGTGCCTTTCTTGTTTTTGTGATGTGCATTCATTAATAAGCTTTATGTTCACCATGCTTTGATTTAATATTTAGACCTCATACAAAGCTTTCCTTGTCTTTTCCTTTTTCTTTTAGTTATTTCCCACCTTTCTTTTCTTTCTTTTATTCCTCACT